AGATCGAGTGAAGTTTTGATGATCCGATCTATGACGCGATCACGTCCCACGTCTCGATCGCGAGGAAAAAGAACTCTGCGATCCAGGGCTGTTCAGCGAGGTATGCGAGTGGTGGAGATCGTGTAAACTGATATATATATATATTATACATATATATATATTGTATATTACGTTATATAGAGATATCCTATTCTATTCTATTTTATTCTATTCTACTATACTATATTATATCATACATATTGTATATGTATTTATTTTGTGTGTGTGTGTGTTTGTATGTATGTATGTATGTATGTATGTATGTATGTATGTATGTATATATGTATATATGTTTATTTCTGATTTTATATTGGCATTGCTTGATCCAACAAATAAACAGCTAGATAAATATATAAGTAAATAAATGAACAAAGAAGTATATATATATATACACATACATACACACACATATATATATGTATATATATATATACATACGCATGCTGTTGCTAGCGTCTCCCAGAGGCAGAGCTGATGCGCTGGACCTACATGCATTCCTCAAATGGGCTGTGTACAAGCAGATGACCCGCGAGGTGCCGCACTTTGTTTCGTAGTCATTTGTAAGCACCTGCTGAAACGCTCAAGCCACTGTCAGCCCAGCTCAGGGTGGGTTCCAAGGGCGCGCCAACAAGCTTGTGGATTCCTGCTACTCCTTCTGGCAGGCAGCATGCCTTTACTGCTTGCAACTGGGCTGTGCTGGTACAGACTGTGGTTGCTACTCTGAGTGTGATTGCTGTTTGCACGGGCCCTTCTGCACATGAAGCGGGGCCATGGCAGGGTGCCATCTTCCCCCTCTTGCACGAAGCCTTTCGGCAGAAAGGCAGGACAGTCTGATCCGATTGCTTCCTGTCATGGCGCTGTAGCCTATCACATTATTACAGCCTAGCTACTGTCCGTGACGGTGCCTCACCTTGTTTCATTCAGTGGGAGAAAGGTTTAGGAATCTGTCCTCATTGTCCTCATTACATCAGCTGTCCGCCTCTGGTTGACCATGTAACTTAGACGGCTTCGCGTCCGAAGGCGAAGAAGTTGCTCTGCCGAAAGATCACTGCTGGTTTGCTCCGCAGCCGTCGCAAGCTTACTTCACCTGGGCCAAACAGCCAGTGAGCTGACTCCCACGTGCAGTGTGTCAATGCAAGCGCATGCATTGTTGTTGGCGACAGTGTTCGAACATCATCAGAAGTAGACTGTCACTGCTTCTTTGCAAACGCGCTGATGACGATTGTTATGTTCACTTCATTGTCGGGGTTCCTCGCAAATCGCCAAGATCAAAGGCGTATACTTCCCATCACTGTTCTTGTTGCAGCGGAAGATAGCAAATGAAAAGTGATCACACGTGGTCGATGCTAATTGTTTTCCGAGTTTTCCACGAATCAAGTTGCATGCCGAGGTCTGCCATCTGAAGCCTTAAACTTGCTTGGAGCTATGTTTCTTTTTCTCGAATTGTGAGGCAACAGTCCTGCTGCCACCATCCTTCTTCACATGAGGAGTGAAAACGCAGCAAATTGGCCATGGTAATGAAGCTGCAAGACGGAACATGTCGAAGCCTTTGTGCAGACCAGACAGCACGGCTGCGCGGCAAGGCATCATTCGTGAAGAGCTGCGCATGGCTCGTCGCGTGTTCCATCGTGAGTGCTGTCAGAAGCGTCGAGTCCCGCTTTTCGAGTTCATCCTGAATCCTAGTTGCGGGTCGGTGTCTTCTTGCTCGCGGTTCCAGAAGAATTACGGCTGTTTGTCATGCAATGCGTTTCAGCGTCGACACTAAGAAGTTTGCACCATTTTGCACCAGTTGCGTCTGCCCCTGATGGCTGATGGCATAAGGTTGCAGACCTACATCCTCCTAGCATGCCATTCGCTTAGCAAGTGTCTGCGACGTGGCAATGTAGCCGCAGTTTGGAGGATTTGCAATGTAGCGTTTAGCGGTTCTGCAGAGCTTGCATTGCAGTGCACTTGAAGCGAAGAGCAGATGATTACAGACAATCCTTTGCCCGTGGCATCCTTTTCAAAGCCAAGGTCAGCATCCGAACGGCGGACTTCGGGACAAGCCTGGCAAGTCTGCAGACTTCTACCACACCTGCTATGCGCCTGCATCCTAGCTCGGATGTATTGTGGGTGCGCTGGAACTCCATGGCATGTTCGGGTTTCACCTACTTCGGTGTCGACAGTCATGGACGCCAGGAAGGAGCTTCAACATGCATTGACTGGATTGGCCTCCTGAAGTGTTCTGAGGCTCAGCGGCATGGCGGTGAGTCAATACGACGAAGCCCTGGCAAGAATTGTACACAGCGAGCTGTTTGGCTGCTACGCAAGCGAATCGGCTGCCAGGTACAAGGTGGAACTTCTGTCTTTGGCGACCCACGCAATCTTTTGGAGCGGACGGACATCTACTACAATGTCGCGGTGGAGAAGGTCACCGCAGCCATGGCTAAGCACGTCGCCGCTTAAAGCTTCAGCCTGAACTGGTGCGCATTCCATGAATATACTTTCTGATGCTGCTTTGAAGGAACATATAGCAGGTCACGGTGGTCCTGTGCACGCTTGTCAAGCACCACGCAGGCAGAGCGGAAATGCACGTACTTCAACTCCTTGCCGCCGCTTTCAGTTGATGGACGGCAGACTGCTCAGTACAGGGCTTTTGTATAGATGAGCATGAGGCCCTCATCGATACGTTGCTTACCCGTCTTTGCAGACAGCCTCGAAGTGTTGAGCTTATATAAATCATGCAAGCACCCAGGACCGTTCAGGGTCGCGAAGGTTCGGGTGCGGCGGCCTTACTTAAGCGGCGGGTGGCTCGTAACCTGCAGTGGCGGCAAGTGTGGGATCCCAGAAGCTAAGTTGCTGCAACAGGGCTTTGCGGACCGTGTAAGATTGATTGCCTCGATCACCTTGAAATATCCCATATCTGATGTTCGGATTGCTTATGGAGTGCCAGAAAAACTCTGAAGTCGCATAGAGCTAGCAGGGACGACTGGCTACTGGGGTTGCGTTTCAACTGCAGCTACCTCTCTCTTTGCCATCCTTGTGCCATTACCTTGCCAAGGCTGTGGCCTGGCGCCAGCACATCAAAACCATCGACCGCTGCTGGCCTAGAGTCTAGAGTCTTCCACAATGGTGCTAACACCAATATCACAAAGCCATGCTGATGATCCAGTTGCGGCAGCTTCCGTCCCAATGTGTGTCGGGCATGAAGAGAGGACGTTTGTTCCGTCATTGTTGCATCAGGTCAGGCACAGCAGGTAGACGACCGACAAGCTGCAAGCAACCCGGGCTGCACGATGCATTCTGCCGAGGGAGTTTGTTAGATTTCAAGTGAGATCTTGCCGAGAAAGCAGTGCAATTCCATTGCAGGCTCCGCAACCTACACTGCGAGGAAAGGTGGTTATGCAGGCGTTCCTTACGCTGATGATTCTGTGGTTGTCTGCACTATGAATTGATGCCGGAACCCTGGTTGCGTATGCGCTCACAGATGCTTTGGATGATGACTGGATGAAGCTCCTAAATGCTATTGGTCTTGTATCAGCAGGATATCCAACCCTGACACCAAGGCAATTGTTCAGGATTGGTTGAGGTTAGTGGTTGCACCCTCGGCTACGACGGAAGAGTCTGACTTAGACCGAGGGCTGCATGACCAGGGATGGTGGTTCCACATGTCATTGCTAGCTAGGTGCACCGTTTTCTACAACTGTGTTCCTGGGCTTACTGTGCTGGCTTCATGCCTGCCGCAGGTGAAGTGGAGTGACATCCGCTGTTCGGAAAAAAGAGCGGTGCGGATGACCTATAGGAACTGTTGTCACTCCTTATAGTAACGTTTATAGCAGCAAGTAGCAAGACCGACAATTTCCCTGGAGTGCACTTGCTTTGGATTGCGGCTTGTGCCCGGAGCCTTTTGGCTTCAGCCAGCTGTATTTGACGATGATCTCTGGCAGCAAATTTGGATCTAAGGACTTTGTGCCATGGACTAGGCAAGATCCTTCGGGAAGATTCCAGTGAAGAACAGCTGCAAACGTGCCAAAACTGGTGGACCACCTGCCACCCGTGGCTAGCCAACCCACAGCATCGTTCCCACAGTAAGAGTAGGAGTGACCCCAGGGCTCCCATGATGGGGCCTTGAGCGGACACCGAGCGAGGTGCCCCCCGAGGCCCAATGCTCGTCCGGCTTCAGACTGTACTTGCGATGTAGGATGAAACAGTCGCAAGGGGTAGGTGGACGGTCTGTACCGTGTTGACTGTTAGGTATGGCGCTTTGGGAAATAGTCGGTGGCAGCGAGGCAGGTGGCATCGTGGTGTCCTGGCAGCAATTGCTTGCAGCGAGGATGATTCTTGACATGCCTCCCACTTCTTACAGCGCCGACAAGCATTTGAAATTAAGGTGCGTGAAGGACGAGAACTGAAGTCACCACAGGCACGGAGGTTAGATGAAGGTAGATGCATGCCAACAAGCGCAGCAGATCGCAGAAAGACTCCCTGTGGGCAGCGAGGAGCCCGAACGGCTGGCAACGAAGTCGCTTGTGGAGGCAATCCCGGTCCTCTCATCTCTCTACTTTGGACCTCGGATCCGAGTGTTTCACTTGTGTCGTTGATCAGTGGGGCTGCTGGTAGGTAGTCCCCAATTCATGTTGACTTGTTTGCCTGGGAGTCGCCTTGAGAGTTCAACTGCTCCTGGATTCTTGATCGACCTTCTGCACGAAGGCTGAACAACAATCACCCGTGTTTGGACCGATGTTTTCTGAAGCCTCACTGCGATGCCCCTTCATTCGCGGGCGCAGGTGCCTTTGCCAAGGCATCTTTAGCCACATCATTCCGCACTCACCCGCCGGACCACACGTCCCCGTTTCATGCCAGCGGCTGCTGCCCCACCTGTGGATCTTGTCACTATCATGAAGCACATGCCGTGCTACGCGACTAGATTATATCAAGTTTGCACAGGGTATCACATTCCCATCGTTTAGAGTTGCATGCTCAAATTTTCACTTCTGTCAGAATTTTTCTGCTGCGTTTACTGCTGAAGAGTTGCAAGCTGCATGAGCAGGAGTTGGAGCTCGTTGGAGAACGCCTGCGCTACCGCCTTCAGAGTGGCCGTGGTCCTCAACAAGGCAGGCTCTGGCAAATTGCAACCCCTGGTTCACATGGGAGTTGCGCATGAGGTTGACGACGATGACGCTGAGGGGGATGAGTGTTCGACTTCACGGAAACTTGGTACCCCGCAGGAAACTTTAAGCCCATCAAAATCCTAAAGGCCGCTGGCAATTCTAACTAAGAGGCAAGGGAACGGAAGTGAAGCGGAGCGACGGGTAGGGGGGAGTGAGAAGGGAAGGGGAAGGGCAGGGGAGCGGAGGGGAGAAGGGGGAGCAAAAATCGAAGGTCTAAACCAGCTGAATCCACAAACAATACCTGTTAATTAGTTAGTTGTTTGGATGGGGGAGAACTGGGGATGATGGTAGAGGGGGGGGATGGAAAGGGGATTTAGGGGGGGCGCGGGAAGTTTCACAAAGAAAGGAATTCGGGGTCGATGAGGGTTCAGAAGCAAAGACAGTGGGGGTTAGGGGGAAGTTGTATACGACATGACGCTGAGTCGCTTCGATCTTTAGTGTAGAGTCTACAGACGATGCCAGGATGGATCAGCATTCGAATTTCCGGCAAGGAGCCAGAGTCGGAGAGCTTATGAAGACTTTGCTGGAGTGCGTTAATTGGAGGAGCTGGCTGTACGCCGTGACGAAGCCGGTCTAGCAAATGGAGCACCACCAAAGTGGGTGGAGGCAGCTGACTCCAGTCCAGTCGAATTCCCTTCAAGTCTGGCCCAGTGCCCTATAGAAACAAGAGCAGGAGTCAGCTGAGAAGATGCGTGCATGCCTCGGATCCAGATGCTGGTGCACTTGGTGCCCTCCCGCAGATTCCCGCAGCTCTGTACGTTGCGACCAACCTCGGAAGCGGCTGCACTGCAAGGCGCGTTCCGCGAAGGGCGGAAGATGCTGCCGCCTCCAGAACCTTGGACCATCTTGGACCAGTGAGCATAACTAAGAGGAGTAGGGAAGGATTATGGAGTCGCCGCTGTGCTGGTTTGCAGGTATCTAATGTGAATGCATGTCAATGCTGCATCATGCTGCATCCCATTCGCTCAGACACTAAACTGCATGGGCCGAGGTTGACACACCTGAGAGACTCCTGCATGAGGCCCGGACAGCAGCAGCTGGATAATGCCGGGGAGTGAACGCGGGCTGGCGGATTTTGCAGGTCCAGCCAAAGGACATGCTCCCGCCTTTCAAGCGGTTGAGCCCCAAAGCATCTTGGCGAAGATCTTGTAAGCAACTGCAGGACAGACGTCATGTGTGCGTGAACCTTCCTGTACAAGCCTGCGACCCAACCCAAGGAGATGGCAGACTGCACCTCAGTTTTTCCACCTGACGAAGCCTCTCAAGTCATCTCAAGTCTAAATAATTTGTGGGCCAGACTGTTGGCATTTTTCAGTGGCCTTGTGCATGCGACCGCGCAGCAGCATAGCGGTTGTGACAGTCAGCAATCACAAGCGGCTTCCAGGGCAGCTGTAAGGCGGGCGCTCGATTCAACCTTAAGACGAGAGCTGCATGGCTGAGGAGATGTCGGTGAAGAGCTTGCCAGGCAGGCTGCAAGGGCATGCGCTCAGGAGACAGGTCTCCAGCTCTTGACCAGAACGCTCGGCAGCCGTGCCGGGATTCCAGTTTGCTGATGAAGGGGCAGAGCACGTGTACAGTTTCAATGCACGCTATGACATGTCACGTGCCAGCTGAGATTAAAATTTCTCTGGCGTGGAGGCCATTTCTCCGGCTTGAAGTTCCCGCACAATGTGGAGCAACTGAAGTCTTGTGGCCCGTCCTGGTACACCCAAGCATTTCATAAGAGCCTCGATTGCAAAGACAGGAAACGTCTATGGTTTTTGTAGTTCTTTGTGATATTGGAGGCGGCCATTTTCAGACAGCAACGGAGCTTTTTCCCCAAGTGTGAATGAACTTGGCAGGCCACATGCTACCATGCTACAGCCAAACAGACTAGGTTTGCAGAAGAATGTTGCCTGTTCGCAGTCGCTGAAGGTTTGGGACTCTGCCGTTGGACAACAGCGTGGTGAAGGCCTGCACAACAGCCGGTTGACTGGAGTTTTCGGGATGTTTGCCTTGGGGCTTAGTTGCCTAGGCCAAGGCATACACATACATGTTCACTGCCAGCTTGGCGTCATGTTGCTGCTACTTCGCAAGAGGGGGATCGGATTGCTGGGACCTGTGTGGCCGTTTCATATCTATAAGACCTGCATCAAGTGTTAACTAACACAGTGTTAGCGAACTTCGCCGCGGCTGCACCATTTTGGCACCGCTCTCTCGCTGTTCACAGCGCGGTGGTTGAGAGCTACAAAGTATGTGTTCAGCATTGAGCAATTCAAGAACAAGACCATGCAAGAGCCAGCTTAGAAGGCGAAGTGTAGAGCAGGGGAATCAGAAAGGTCAGCAGAATATTACAATGAAGACCCTATGAGGACTTCAGCTGGCAGATTCACCGTGACCACGTAGCCGAACAAAGCAGGCAAGAGGTTCATTGGCTCGATGCGGCTCGAAACGAGCCAGGCTGTTTGCTTTCTCTCAGTACATTTGATGGTTTCTCTCAATAGTTTTGATGCTTTCCACTTCAGCACTCATTCAACACAACAAGGAACATGATAAGTCAGGGATTTTTGGTTCTCTGGAACTAAATCTGAAGTTGTAAGCCGTTTCTTACCGGGAGGTCTTGCATGTGGAGCAGCTTCCGCACTCCGGCTTCGATGTCGCGGGCTCGACTCAAGCCAGCAGCATGGTTGTAGACATATACATCTGTATACATGTGTGTGGGTGTGCGTGTCTGCCTGCCCTCCAGCATGCCTTCAGCTGAGGCCGCTGGCGGCGCTGGTCACAAGGACGGAAGATGCATCCATGTTCAGCAGGTCCTAGAAGACTTTGCAAGACCTTGTAGCGACGACCAACCAGGCCTTGATTGAGCTCCAGTATGCCAAGTGCAAGACTCGGTCTGCACGATTTTGCAGCGTCTAGAGTTTGATGGAATCCCATGTGTGCAACGGTGTGCAAGCTGCTTTTCCCGCACCCACATAGCCCAAAGCTTATTCGAGCTCACAGTTGTGTGTGTGTGTAACCTGCCAGACGGCGCCTCATCTTTCTCAATTTACTGCATGCTCATTCTATGGGTGGTGCATTTTGCTTGGTGCTGTTGAGGCCAGATCCCAATCTGCACACGAAGCTCTTTGCCAAATACCCGTGGGACTACTTCGAGTCAGAGACCGGGAAGTGCCCTGGCATGACTTAGCTCGGAGCAGATTTCCGCGTGGACACGATGCATTGAGATTCTGTGGTATGAAGTCAGTCTTCATGGCCATCTCCCTGAATCTGCAGAGGTTCGTGTACATGGGGCATGCCTCAATCCAGTTTAGTAGATTCGGGTTTACTCGAAACTCTAAATTTCTGAGCTCTGAACCCTAAGGCCCCAAGCCTTAAAGCAACCACTGTAATTGAGGATCCGTTAGGACTTAGGGCATCTATGACTTCTCCATGAAGGGGTACTATAAGGACTGCCGTCAGGATCTAGGGGTGCTACAAGAGTTCTGCAAAGATTGCTGTGAGGGTTCGCAAGACTCTTAAGTCATCTCCGCAACTTCTGAGAGTCGCTAGGCGGTATCGGATGCAGATGTCTGCGTATCAAGACATGGATTCTGCTGAGCTGCTCACTTCCATCTGCTGTGAGCACCTGAAGCTTGGCTTCTTTAGAAATATGGGAGTTCGACAAAGATGGCTCGCTTGCATAGCACGATCCTGCCATCACAGACCAACCAAAAGCCCCCCGCCCCCGCCTCACCGGGAAATGATCACTAAACTACAACCAGAAGCCCTATACTGCAGAAACGTGGACCCTCCTGCGACTGAGCAATAAGTTCCATCAAAAGGTCGCTACTACCACTATACAACGTTCATTTCGTTAGGTTCAGCTTTTGTTTGGGCTGTGGAAGGGCTTTATGGGGCCTTTTAAAAGGTTGGTTCTGTGGGGTTCTGCAGGTTTTCAAGAGGGTTGCGAGGGGTTGTCCGACTGTAGCGGGCTTACGGCTTGAGGTGTCCTTTGAGAGGTTTGGGGTTAGAGTTTAGCTTCAGGGCTGGGGCAGAGCTCTTGGGTTAAGGACTGCGACTGTTTCTGTTAGGAGGCTTGTGTCCTATCGAAGTCTAATTGTAAACGCTTGGCGTCGTCCACCTCGGCCAGGCTGCAAGTGAACAAGGGTGGGAAGCAGAGAAGCGCAGGGGGGAGCCTGCCGAAACGCAATTGCAGGTGAGACCGCTCACAGACGACAGCGCAAATCCATTGGAGGACACGAAACTTCACCACCTAGCCTTGGAGCCAAGGAATGGGTCCGGAGGAAGGAGGGGGCGGGGTCGGCGAGGGAAACAGCGGATCCTTGTGGGGAGGGCCGAGTCGAATTTAAAGGGCTGAGCTGCAGTTTCAGAGATACGGCAGTTTCAGGGCTACTCATAGTGGAGACCCCATATGACGTTAGTGCCCCTCAGGGGTATGATAATGAGGACGATGAACGTGAAGAAAAAGACACGATCATGATGTCGTCCTCCTGTCTTGCTATGTTGATGAAGAGGATCTTCCGGAGCAGCAAGGAGAGCGTTTTCTGACACATAAATCGGACCTGCAATTGGATTGGACTTCCTTTCTGAGGTTCCCTTTCCGGATACCGAAGCTGTACTTTGCCGACATCAATCGGGAAACCACGAACTACGCCTGGTCCTCACATGTCCAGTCAGGTCGGATCGGGATTGTCCTCGCTCCAACTGCCTACCGCTTGAGGTCCTGATTGTGGAGCGCATTCCCTTCGGGAGACGCGGGAAGGTGCTGTGATAGTGAATCCTGGTGTCCGTGGTTTGCGGTTCGTGTTGCTCTGCATGTCGCCCTGACGAGGTGGTGAAAGGAAAGGTGACGGAGAAGATCGAGCGAAAACCTTTCGAGATTTTGCCTGTGTGTGGCAAATACCAGGAGCGCCGACCTAGCACACATGCAGTTTCTCGTTCTCGGCACGCCACTTTGCTCTGGCGACCGGTTCCAGCCTTCGCAGGAAGTCTAAAGCAAACAGCTGCTGTGTTCTCCTATCATCGGCTAGGTTGGTCTGGGATAGGCGGGTCACACTACTGCATGTGATCTGCAGCCTGTTCAGGATGTGTTGAATGTGAGATCTTCCCGTGGCCATTTTGGGTCGAGCGATCGCCTCGAAGGTTCGGGAAAGATCTGTTTTGTGCGACAGGCAAGCTCTAGAGCGAGGGATCTATGCAATGGCTGGTTGGGTTTCAGACGGCTGGGAGACCCAAGCTCAGGGTCATGGCCGCGATGACCAAGCCTGTCGCCGTGATCGCGGCCAGGGCGGTGGATATGGAGGTGGATACGGTGGCAGTCGCCGTCGCAACGACGATCGTCGCTGTGGAGGGGGTGGTCAATTCTCACCAAGAGCGGCTCACAACCCCTACGAAGTTTGCCTCCCTCACGTCCTGGAGTCGATCGCCAAGTGCGAGGACAACGATCGGAAGACATCCATCATCATGGTGGATACCAGAGACGACGCATTGTCTCGCATTTTCAGCCCTGGCTGCGAATCCAGCCGATTGGCCGTCTCGAGATCATCTTGGGCAAACGGTGATGTGCTCTTGGCCTGCTGCGTTCGCATAAAAAGTCTGTGGGCCTGGGAGATGCTCAGGTCTTGAGGGTCGGCAAGACTCATTCGAGACTTCGGCGGTTGATCCCGTGAAGATTGCACCGACTGTTCGATCGAGCATTTCACTGCTGACTACTTCGCTCGGAGGTGTCTTTGGTTGGGGTCGCGGGTCAGGTCGGGACTCTCATTCTCGTTCGCTTGTGTGATGCTCGATGTGCCGCGCGACCCCATGCCAGAGTGGTTTAAAAATATATCCCTTGCCACTCTGTGCTCTAGGCTGCTGATCAGAGTGATTTCTCTCGTACATGCAGATAGTGCGCAGTTTATTTTTTCTTGATTTCCGGCGGTCTCGTATGTAACCGTATGAAGCTGGCTTTTCCATCCCAGCATGCACCAACTAACTGTTGGTTTTCAATCGACTGAGTTTTCAGCATGTATCAGCATGTGGCATGATACTGCTGCATAAAACGCCTGCTGGACAGCAGGACTATTTGCTGGAGGATGCTCCCAGCATCTATTTTGCGCTTTTCCGCTCGGCACCCAGATATCAGCATTTCAGAGCAGTCGACCGAGACTAGACAATCAGCGCGATGCTAGTATAGGCGAGTCTCCCAAAAATTGACCGACGCTCCCCAAAATCCGTGAACGCAACATTTCAAGCCCGAGAAAACCTTCTCGGATGGGATGCCTTCGTGGAAAACATTCCGCAACAAAAAACCGAAAAAAAATTTCCCGAAGCCCTACAGGTGAGATGGCTCATTTGGCAGCTTGGGACCATCAAGGCCGCTACGATGCGTTTTTGGGGCCGATGCAAAAATACACGGAGCAGGAGCCACTTCAGCGGTTTGTCTGCCTTCCTGCATATGATAGTTGAATGAAGAGGAAAGACGTAGTTCATGTGGATGGTGTTGCGGCAGTTGCGATCCCTGCATATCTAGAATGATTGTACGAGTCGCGGAGCCTTTTGATGGTTCGACCAATGGCTCTGGAAATGTATTTTTTGCGCAGGGTGTCAGATTCCAGTGTCCTGAGAGGAGTACTTGGACCAGGTGATTCGAGTTCGAAAACCGCAGAAAGAGAGGAAGATGGAGGTGCTGAAAGGTGGCTGTGGGAAACTTGGACACACTGTCGCAGCGATGAGGCAGAAACATTATTTGCCCGTTTGAGAAACCGGCTAGCAGAGTATGTTCTGCTGTCGGTCATTGATACGGGGGTTTGATTGCCTGAGGTCAGTCCATGATCGAGAAAGGAATCGACTTTGCGGTGAATGTTGCTTCGCAAATTTTTACGGCCTCAGGCGAACGGATGCGGCCAACAGCTTTGACAGTCTTCCTTGCCAGTGCAAAGATATTTCATGAAGCACAGCATCGGGACAGTCTGCACGGCGACACTGTTGGATGATGTGCAGTTCGCTGTTCGGATAGGCACGCCAATATGGCCTTGCGATGTTTGACTGCAAGCATGTTACAGGCCGAGACAAGGCAAAGCTGGAGAAAATGAAAAAGGTGCCTCGCCAGTGGGTCGCAAACCTTTTTTTGACCACATTGGCAGTTGTAGATCTTGCAGCAGGCATCTCTCGAATCCAGCAAATAGCGGAACGCATGAGCTAAGGAGATCGTGGAGATAGCGCCGTACTTCGATGACATCAGGTACGCCTGGCATTCGATTCGGCATTGTCCAATAATTATGCAGGATTCAGGTTCAAACGCAGCCACAAACTTTACATGCCGCCTCAGCGGTTAAGAAGGGCAGCCAACATGCAGCTCACACCCGCGGCCGGCTGTAGCAGAATGCCATGAAGTTTCTGTTAGACTACATTGATCGTCGTGGTGACGTCTTGTGACGAGCCTCTACAGTGCAAGCTGGAAGGTCATACATGAGCAACTCCAGCGACTGGACGGCGGCCATGCACATGAACCTCCAAGCGGACAATGCAGCTACGTAGAATTCATGGGAATCAATGCAAGGTTTGTGTTCGCGTGACTCTATGTAGCCACTCTGGCAAGCTTGGAGAATGCGGTTGTGACAGACTGACATCGATAGTCTGGCTATTTGGCCGCTCACCCCGCCGAAAGCCCCAACACTGCAAGACTGGTACAAGTAGCAACAACAACCGACAACACCCTGCCCTGCCCTCCCCTCCCCGCATGCACCTGCAGACCCAGCCACCACTACCACCACCCACCACTACAACCACCAGCAGCACCAGCAGCACCAGCGCCACCACCACCACCACCACCACCGCCACCACCACCACCGCCACCACCCCCGCCACCACCCCC